AAACCATTTTGGATGATTTTTAACAGGATAATCTGGATGTAATGGCAGGTCGGCTTCTAAGCCCTGTGAACCACGAAGATCAATTTCCCAAATAATTTCCAGTCACCCGTTTAAACAAACAGAAGAGGAATAAACAGTGAACTGGTCTCCTCGTGGATACAACTGGAAGCAACCCAATAACAAACTAAATTCTGTGCCATATCAAGAAACTTGGAATGAAGGGATGACCCTGAAGGCAGAGAACAGTTGTCCACAACAATTTTTTAGGTGTCCACAACACCTAAAATTTTGCCTACCAGTCTTTAATGGAGGAGACCATCCCAGCTAAATTTTCCACCCCCCATAAACTGTTAAGCAAAGAGGAAGCCCAAGAGTTGGGAACAGCAGCTCCAGACTCACCAGGTGCTTGGGAAGAACGAGTGAAGAGAAGATGTTGGGAGAGCCCCGAGTGGAGGCAGCTTTTATACAGTGCAGAGTGCCCGAGGGGGGAGAGGCTGATTTAATTGACATGCAGCTCATTAGGTGACAGGGCACATTTTTGGGATTGATAGTTCTGCAAAGTGACGAAATTGTTGCTTGGGGTTGGTGTTTATTTCTTGATTTCAGGTCTCCTGGAGCACCACCCCTTTCATCTGAGAGGCTGATGGGTGAAGTGAGTGCATCTTTCATCCTAAATCATGATTCATGACATTAATATCAGTTTTCTGTCCTCTCTGTGGTTGCACCATGGATAACCAGAGCTGGTTATCATTGATATCCTTCTCCTCCTGTTTATACAGCCACGATGCTCAGGGGTTTATCAGAAATCACAAAATCCTGGGATGGTTTCGGGACACGTGCCCAGAACAGCCTCAGCTTCCCTCTGACCCTCAGACTGCCGCTTAAAGCTTGAATTGCTGAATTAATAATTGAATTTATGTTTCACTGAGATGCTTTTGCAAGAGGTGGGGAGGCCCTGGCACAGGTTGTTCCATGGCTGCCTCATCCCTGGAAGTGTCCAAGGCCGGGTTGGATGGGGCTCGGAGCACCCTGGGACAGTGGAAAGTGTCCCAGGACAAGATGATCTTCAGGGTCCCTTCCAACCCAAACCATTCCACGGTTCTGTACAGGAGAACCCCCAAATTCAGCTGTGGTAGGAATAAAAACCCCTTGTTTTTTGAAAGGCTCTCGCAGTTAATCCCATCATCGGTGGCATCTTTCAGCAGGGAGCAATTAGGAGCTGGGAATCTGCTGGGAAAGGCCAAAGCTGCCTTTTGCTGAGGTTTCCTCCTCTGCTGACACCGTCCCTGTAACACTGTCATTATCTTTGTTATCATAATCACCGACCTGCTTATCTGCACACCACGTATTATTTATAAATTATGAGCTTTTCCAAACCTGGAGATCCGTAGGGAGATTTCCCCAGCTATTATCCTGGAAGAAAAAAAAAAAAACAACAAAACCCATGTCAAGGTTTTACAAGGACATTCCAAGGGATTTTCAAACACCTCATGAACACCCATTACTAACTTGTACATACTGTGTCATAGTTCTGCACAATGTGGGCCTGGGTGATGTATCCACCCCACTATTAGCAGAGATTATCACATTAAACAGGTAAATTGAGGTCACTTGGGGTTTTTCCCGTAATCAGTTCGTGGTTTATAACACTTTTTGACCTTCCTTTGACTTTAAAAGTAAAATCTGCCTTTTTTTATTTAAAATGCACACTGACAGAGAGCAGGTTTAGGTGGGATATCAGGGATAAATTGTTCCCTGTGAGGGTGGGGAGGCCCTGGCACAGGTTGCCCAGAGAAGCTGTGGCTGCCCCATCCCTGGGAGTGTCCCAGGCCAGGTTGGACCAACCTGGGACAGTGGAAGGTGTCCCTGCCCATGGCAGGGGGAGAAATGAGATGATCTTCCAGGTCCCTTCCAACCCAAACCATTCCATGATGTGATTCTGTGACACAAAAGCCATTCAAAGATGCTCCTGGTCCTTGTGTTTGCCTTGCACTGAGCAGGTGGGGGCAGAAGTGCTGAGCCTGCACAAAGAAGTTGTTTGTCCCCTCATTTGAGATCCTGAAAGAAATTCCATTTGGCTCCAGGTATCCTGTTGATTACAGCAGAAGACCTGCAACCCAACAAAAAGAATGAGTGTCCTCCTATCATCCTCATTAAATAAATCAAGTCAGCTTCTTTCCTCCCCTAACGCTCTGGAAAGCAATGGAATAATAAAAAAGAACTCCACACCTAAAGCCTGGAGACAATAGAGGTCTGGGCTGGAATGTGCACGTCACCCCATGTGTGGGTTTGAAGTGCCTGCAATGCACAAGCAATAAGCAAGAACAATTTCAGCACTTTGAGGAATTATGTGTCCTGCAATTTGGGGTTGGGACCTAATTAGGAACTCGCGCATCGGGTGCCCAACGTCCCCCAGGCAAGCTCAGGGCCCTATAAAAGCTCCCTGCACCAGGTCTCTCCATCCACTGCTCCCAGCTCATCCACCTCCCTCAGCTCAGCCACCTTTGGGAACCAGGTAAGGCAGAATTTCTCTAAACTTGCTGTCAGGAGCTCTGGGTTGTCCCTTGGGACAGAGTCCTCCCGGGTGGCTTCCAGGCTGCCACTGATCTGGGGGAGATTTGCTGCTGGAAATGATGTTTGAGTTCTCCTTCATCTCCAGGCCTTGTAAAGACAGGCCCCAGGAGAGGGGTGTATCAAGGAGTTTTGAATCCCAAACCCATAGCCTTTTAGCACTTCAAAGAACTTGACTATATTTTGGGAGGCAAATAACTCATCTGCATTGTTGTGTGGGGCTGCATTTGGCTGAGTATTGCTGAGTTTGTGACAGCAAAGACCAAACAGCAAGTAGAAACCATCAACTAAGAGCAGTGTAGTACTGTCAAAATTATCCCAGCTGGAAATTCCAAAGATCCAGCTGAAAAGTACATGATTTTGTTGGATAAAACTGAAGAGAACTTGACTTTGTTTTCCTAAAGTCAAGGCTGGCCGAGGGATCGTGTGATAGAAAGAAAAGTGATAGGAAACGCTTCCCAGGTTTCTTTCTGACACCCTGTTGGGCTGTTTGATGCATCTCTAACGTGAATAACTGAACCCCTTCCACAGGTTCACTGCCAGCCCTGCAGAATGTCCTGCTCTGACCTGTACCCCGGCTCTGCCTGCGGCGTCCTGCGCCCCCAGCCCCTGGCTGACAGCGGGAACGAGCCCTGTGTGCGCCAGTGCCCCGACTCCACCACCCTGATCCAGCCACCCCCCGTGGTTGTCACCTTCNGTGCTCTGGGCTGGGGCCAAGGTGGGGATGGAGCAGATCCCTGGGGACTGAAATAATTCTGTGATTCTGTGGCTGGAAACCCCTGTAAGGACCCCATGGTGCTCTCTGTGCCTGCCCTTGGGAGCAGCAGTGAGGACTGAGCAGCTGAGAGTGCAAAGGATAAAGATCAACGTGATGACCCCGAAGTTGCTCTAAACAATTTTCTCTCCAGGTCTGTCCTGGCCTGGATTTAATGGGAATAAAACTCAGGTGAGTACAGGTGAGCACAGGTGAGCACAGGTGAGCCCACGGGGTCTGCCACGAGCAGAGGAGAAGCTGAGGAAGAGCATCAGGTTAATTCCTGCTGTAAGGCCAGGGATGTGGATGGAATGATAACAGGAATAAACGTGACAAGGTCACCCTGGGAGATGAAAGAGGTCCCTGTGATGAAAGGCCCCCATCTCATTTCACGAGACCTGGAACCCACAAACAAACAAGGAGTCAGCAGAACTCTGAGGGCCTACGTGGCACACGAGGTTTGGGTTTGCCCCAATTATGCACATCCACAAATTGCTCCTGAGCTGATCCCTGGGATCTTGGGAACTGTATAAAAGCTCTCCCAAGCCAGGGCTCTTCACTTCACCTTCCTCGCTTCATTCACCTCCGTGAGAAGGGTAAGCACCATCCTGTGGGAATTCTTTCCTAAAATTCCCGTCTCTCTTTTCTCCTGGCTTAGCTAAGGTTGGAACTGTCCATAAGTGCTCTAAGGTGCTTAATAATGTTGGGTTGTTTTGTCCTGATTCTGTTTTTCTTCTTTGCTGTTGGACATCCACGTGTTTGGGGTTGAAATGGTCGAACTGGGGTTTGCAAATGTTGTTTCTTGCCAGTAGAAATCAGAGCTACCAGAGGAGCTTCCAAAACCTCAGCAGAAGGTTTGTTCAGTTGCTAGGAATTTTTTATGGATTATATCATGTGAGTTCTTGATAAGTGTCTGATATAAGTGTCTGATAAGTTCTTGATATGTGTGTGTTGTTGAGGGGACAAGCTTAAATCCTAACCTACCCTTGGAACTACATAATATCAGAATTATCTTCTGATAATTATTGTTTCTGCTGGTGGGAAAAAATTGTTCATAGCCAGTATTCCTTGTCCTTCCATGCTGGTGTAAAACAAATATGAGGCAGCTGTTCAGACACAGCTGCTGTAAAAGTGGTTAAAAATTGGACAGAGTTTGCAAAGACTGGATAATGCAAAAACACATCTTAATTCTTTGCAGGCTGGTAGGAGGGACGAGATTTCAGAGCAAGGTGGAACATTTCCCGTAGATCGTGTGGACATTTAGGGAATTTTTGAAAATCTGCTCTGTGAAAAAACAAGAGCTGAAAGATTGCAAAGGGAGAAATCAATTTGTTTGCTCAGAATGCTGTGCCTGGGTGGCTGTTGGATGTTGGATGTTGAATTTGAGTGAGGAGCAATGAGAGAGAAGAGCTCAGAGGTCCCAGATCAGCACTGGGATTCACCACCGAGGTGATGAAACTGTTGGGTCCATTATTGGCCTTTATGAGGCCTCTCAAACTGGTTTGTGACAATGATCCAAAGTCACTGGAGGTCAGGGGCAATTCTTTCCTCTTGGGACAGACCTGGGGAAAGAATGAACACCTGGTGTTGTTCCAGTCGCTCCCTCGGACTGGAATTCTCCTCCTTGCAGCCTGACCCTCCCTGTGTGTTGCAGATCCACTGCCAGCCCTGCAGAATGTCCTGCTCTGACCTGTACCCCAGCTCTGCCTGCGGCGTCCTGCGCCCCCAGCCCCTGGCTGACAGCGGGAATGAGCCCTGTGTGCGCCAGTGCCCCGACTCCACCACCCTGATCCAGCCACCCCCTGTGGTTGTCACCTTCCCTGGGCCCATCCTCAGCTCCTTCCCTCAGGATTCCGTCGTGGGATCCGCTGGAGCCCCCGTTCTTGGGGGCTATGGGGGCTCCCTGGGCTATGGGGGCTATGGATCCCTGGGCTATGGGGGCTATGGGGGCTATGGATCCCTGGGCTATGGGGGCTATGGGGGCTATGGATCCCTGGGTTATGGATCCCTGGGCTATGGAGGTTATGGCTCCCTGGGCTATGGTGGATATGGATCCCTGGGCTATGGGGGATATGGATCCCTTGGCTATGGGGGATATGGATCCCTGGGCTATGGGGGGCTGTGGGGCTGTGGGGGCTCCTCCCTGGGCTCCCGAGGTCTGTGGGGCTCTGGCAGATCCTATGGCTCCTGCAGCCCCTACTCCTACAGGTCCAGCAGGTACAGCCGTGGCAGCTTCGGGCCCTGCTGAGCCCCACGGGGACGCCCCAAGTGAGGGATGAGAAGTGCTGGTTCCACAGGCAGAGAGCTGGGAACCACCACTGCTCCATCCCGAGGCCCTTCAGCCCCTTTGGAATAATTTCTCCTCCTCGTTTCTGCTTCCATTTCCTGCCCTAAGGCTCCTCCCGCCCCACTTCTGTACTGCCTGGGGCAAACACGGGACAGAAGTGCTCAGAATGGGTCCTGTTCGCTCAAACCAAGAGCTGAGCCTCAGAAAAACCCCCAGCTCGATCCCATGGGAATGTGCCTCGGGCTGGAGAACAGCTCCTTAACTTCTTGGAGACTCTGAAATGGATTCCTTTGCTCACTATCATTAAAAATTTATTGCATCACAGTTGCCATGTTCTGGTGGTCTTTTCTCATGTTTTCACCTGTGATATTTGTCACAGTAGAATTCTCACCTGTGCAGGTGTCGGTAACTGCCCAAACTGTCACAGAATTGTGGAATGGGTGGGGTTGGAAAGGACCTTAAAGCTCATTTAGTTCCAGCCCCTTGCCATGAGCTGGGACTCCTTCCACGAGACCAGATTGCTCAGGGCTTCAACTATGGAGCTGAATGTCCTGCCCAAAAATCCAGGGATTTCAAATGGCCAAAAGCAGTGGGAAGCCCCTGGCACAGAAGGCATCACTGTCCTGCCCTCCCCATTTTTCATGGATATTCTGGAGGAATTTGGCTTCTAGGTGGTAGCTCTGCTGGTTACAGTGGTAGAGAAATTAAACAGTAGATCACTAACTTTAAACTCTTTATTAAGCACATTAGGCTTCAGTCAGAATTTCTTCCAGGTAAATCTTTTGTCTCTTTGAACTTCAGGTTCACACTCAAATACTTAAACTCTGTCCTCAGTCATTGTTTCTGCAGAAGCTGAATCAATTTTCTGTCAAATCCTTAAATAAAGTTTCCTGGGCCACACAATGGAATTTGAAATCTGAAGTATGGGGATGAACTTGCTGTGTTATAATGAAATCAGAAGTGTTGGATGGTTTTTGACAGAGAAACAGCTGCTCCCTGCAGGTCCCCAAAGGGTTAATTCATCCACCCCAACAGGGACAGAGAGAACAGAGTCAGGGCTGGAAAACTGCAGGGTAGAAAATGTCTCAATGTGGATATAAATCCTCCCCCTCTGCTCTGGTGAGATCCCACCTGGAATGCTGAGTTCTGGTCCTCCAAACACCAGAAGGACACGGAACTGTGGGAGCAACGAAGTTGATAAAGGGACTGGAGCCCCTTCCCTATGGAGACAGGCTGGGAGAGCTGGGAATGTTCAGCCTGGAGAGCAGAAGGTTGTGTGGAGACCTCAGAGCCCCTTCCAGGGTCTGAATGGGCTGCAAAGAAGCTGGAGAGGGGATGTTCATCAGGAACTGGGGTGACAGGACAAGGGAGGTGGGTTCAGACTGACAGAGAGAAGATTTAAGTTGGATATTAGGGAGAAATTCCTCCCTGTGAGGGTGGGGAGGCCCTGGCACAGGTTGCCCAGAGAAGCTGTGGCTGCCCCATNCATTTAAAACACACGTGTCGTGGTTTTGTGTCCTCACCCCCCCCTGAATTTGCCAGCTGTGCTGGGCAAAGCTGATGTTGTACAAACCCTGCCCAATATCCCATCTAACCCTGCCAATATCCCACCTAATCCTGCCAATATCCCACCTAACCCTGCCCACTGGCAATCTGAACCCATCTCCCCTTGTCTTGTCACTCCAGGCCCTTGTCCAAAGTCTCCCCCCACATTTCTTTAACCTCCTGCAGGTCCTGGAAGGTCCCAATCAGAGAAACTTCCCCACACTGAACAGCCCCCAATTCTCTCAGCCTCTCACAGACTGAGTTCCTGGGTTTGGGGTTTCTTTGGTTGTGTTGAAGTTGTGTGTATATTAAACATAAGTTGTGTGTATATTAAACATAAACAGAATCGGTGTCAATATTTTATAAAGAGCCTAAACCCAAACGAAATCACCACACCACACATGACAGAACTCTTTTAGGTTATCAGCAAAGCACAAAAGCAGCTCCTGACTCGGGCAGATCCTTATCTCACAAGACACTTCTCTTTATGTGGTTCAGCAGCCAAAAGATCTCAGGGTACATATTTTCCTGCAGTGAGAAGAGTGGCTGATCTGAACCATGTCTGGAGTTCATCTGACCAGAAACTGAGGGTAAAATATGAATAAAGAGGGGCAAGAGCTGCCACAGGTGCCCAGCTCCACCCTTTGGGACTGGGCAGGGGGGGCTTTTCCAGCCTCAGGGGCTCTGGGATCCCGGGATCCTGGGAGGGTTTTTCCGAGCTCAGGGGCTCTGGGATCCCGGGATTCTGGGAGGGTTTTTCCAGTCTCAGAGGCTCTGGGATCCCGGGATCCTGTGAGGGTTTTTCCAGTCTCAGGGGCTCTGGGATCCCGGGATCCTGGGAGGGTTTTTCCAGTCTCAGAGGCTCTGGGATCCCGGGATCCTGGGAGGGTTTTTCCAGTCTCAGAGGCTC